AGGAAAGGAATAAAACTCTATTCTCGGTTACACCTAATTAGAGTAACTAGGGAATTGATAACCGTATTTAAGTGCAATTATTTAGGCTTAGAATCTAGGTCATTATGGCTGGTGTCTTTCTCTTTCCTACATAAATAAATAACGAAAATCTGATTACCTTATTTAAAGAGGGTATAAAATCATGAGGTGCATTAATGAATAGGGTGGCAATTATGTGCAAGTGCCGAAAATATGGAAAGTTTCCTTCTAGAAGAGGATTGGGGTTTTAAATTTTCGGTTGCACCATATAAAAAAAAAAAAAGGAAAGTTTTTAAATAAGATCCACTCAAAATATGGCAGTCCAAGAGGTGGCGGCTGTATTTATTTAGGGTAACCTAGAATAATGGAATTACATTAAGTATACTTAATTTGGGCTAGAATCCTAGGCTATTAAATTCGATTCCCTCCCCCCCCTGGACATGAATGAATTTTCGGTCACTAGCACTAAATGAGGAAAGATTAAAACTTGCCTCTTGGGTCGTATGTAGAACACGTGACTTCTAGGGTAAAAAAAAAATAGATGACGGCTCTCATTAATGGTCTAACTTAGTGTACATGGTACCAGAATAATGGAAGACTTAAGTACATCCATTATTAGAACCTAATGAACATTCAACATAAATAAAGAAAGTTACACATGCAGTTCCACTTAAATTTAAGAAAGCATATCACACAATTAAATAATAAGAATTAAAAGAACTATGTTAACATTAATAACAATCATCAGGGGAATGGAAGAAATAGGGTCCATTTATCTGACTCAAAAGACTATCTCGCCCCTAGGCTAATCTCACTAACCTTGGGTTATGTCAAGGTAACTTCATCACATAATCATATAGACATGCACATACGAAATTTACTAAACACACCCTGGGAGAGATAATTATGCAAGCAGAGAATATAATATGATTAAACAGTTGTAGCAAGAACTGAACTAGAGTAAAAAAAAAATTTTTTTTTTTTTTTTTTTTTTTTAAACAAAAGAGTCACTAATTAATAATCAACACTCTCTGCCATGTAGACCGAAATTTGGGATGTTACAACACTCCCCTCATTAGAAAAATTTCGTCCTCGAAATTTAACACTAACCTGATACGAAGAGGTACGGGTAGCGTTCTCTAATTCCTTCTTCACGTTCCCACGTAGCTTGACTTTCATCCGCTGCATTCCACATTACTTTGACCAAGGAAATCTCTTTATTTCGTAGTCGCTTAATCTTGCGATCGTCGATCCGGTGAGGTGTAACTTTAAAAGTTAAATTCTCCTTAAGGGGAATGTGGTCTACTTTGATAACGTGAGACGGGTCGAATACATATCTCCTAAGTTGAGACACATGGAACACATTATGAAGTTTGGACATGCTTAAGGGTAAAGCAATTTGATACGAAGATTCTCCTATCTTTCTAAGGATTTGGTAAGGGCCAATGAATCTAGGACCAAGCTTTCGATGTTTCAGAATTCGACCGACACCCGTATGCGGGGTGACCTTTAAGAATACATGGTCTCCTTCCTCGAATTTCAGTGGACGCCTTCTTTTATCGTAGTAGCTCTTTTGTCTGCTTTGAGTCGCTTTCAGCTTCTCTCGAATGTCTTTAATCTTCTCAGTGGTCTGCTGAACTATCTCTGGGCCAATGAGTAATTGTTCTCCTGTCTCGTACCAACATAAGGGCGTTCGGCACCTACGCCCATACAATGCCTCGAACGGGGCCATACCGATGCTTGAGTGATGGCTATTATTATAAGTAAATTCTATCAGCGGCAGGTGTTCATTCCAACTTCTGCTACTCTCTAGGCTGCATACCCGTAGTAGGTCTTCCAATGACTGGATAGTCCTTTCGGATTGCCCATCGGTTTGGGGGTGATAAGCTGAACTAAGTCGCAACTTCGTTCCCAAGGCTTGATGTAAACTTGCCCAAAACCTTGATGTGAAACGCGGGTCCCTATCTGAAACGATACTCTTGGGAATTCCATGCAGGCGAACAATCTCCTTGATATAAAGTTGAGTCAACTTCTCCATAGAATATCTAGAATTTATGGGAATAAAGTGGGCAGACTTAGAAAATCTATCCACGATTACCCATACCGCATCATGTCCCGTTGACGTCCTTGGAAATCCCGATACGAAATCCATTGCAATGTCATCCCACTTCCACTCGGGAACTTCTAGGGGTTGTAATTGTCCAGCCGGTCGCTGATGTTCTATTTTGGCCTTTTGACAAGTCAAGCATGAGGTCACAAAACTAGCAATGTCTTTCTTCATTCTCGGCCACCAGAAATCTCTCTTTAAGTCTCTGTACATCTTTGTTGATCCAGGATGGATACTGAGGTAACTTCTATGAGCCTCTTCAAGAATCATTCGTCTAAGCTCATCTTTATCTGGCACACAAATCCTCTCCTTGTACTTAATCATCCCTTGGTCATCTTTGCATATGTTGGGTTCTTTCTTTTTTTCTTTGGTTTCCAATCTCCCTTGAAGGAATCTGTCTTGCTCTTGAGCAGCCTTAATCTGATCTCTGAATTGATTAGTCACTCGGAGTACTCCACAAATCAAGTTGTTGGGTCCCACATGAACATCCAAGTTAAGACTTTGGAATTGTTCGAGAAGTTCAAATTCCTTTACCATCATTGATGAGGCGTGCAATGCCTTTCGACTCAAGGCATCAGCTACAACATTGGCCTTTCCAGGGTGATAATGAAGTTCAAAATCGTAGTCTTTAAGGAATTCCATCCATCTTCGTTGGTGCATATTTAGCTCCTTTTGATCAAAGAGATACTTCAGACTCTTATGATCACTGAACACTTCAAACTTTGACCCGTAAAGATGATGTCTCCAGATCTTGAGGGCGAATACCACTGCGGCTAATTCAAGATCATGCGTCGGGTAGTTCTTCTCGTGAGGACGTAATTGTCTGGATGCGTAGGCCACTACTTTTCGTTCCTGCATCAACACACACCCAAGTCCTTGGTGAGATGCGTCACAATACACTTCGAACTTCTCTTGAGGGTCCGGAAGAATTAATATCGGAGCCGAGGTCAATCTCCTCTTCAACTCTTGAAAGCTATGCTCGCACTTTTGATCCCACACAAAAGGTTGATCCTTTCGCGTCAAACGGGTAAGAGGGGTGACAATATTCGAGAATCCTTCAATAAACCGTCGATAATATCCAGCAAGTCCCAGAAAGCTACGGACTTCTGTCACCGTCTTGGGTGGTTCCCAAAGTAGAACAGCTTCTACCTTGGATGGGTCAACCGCAACGCCTTCCTTAGAAATAACGTGCCCCAGAAAATTCACCGCTTCAAGCCAGAATTCGCACTTTGAGAGCTTAGCATATAGTTCCTTTTCTCGTAGGAGTCCTAAAACAATTTTCAGATGGTGTGCATGTTCTTCAGGACTTCGTGAGTAGATGAGAATATCATCAATAAAAACTACCACGAATCGATCCAAATAAGGGTGGAACACCCGATTCATGTAATCCATGAATACAGCAGGAGCATTAGTCACGCCAAAAGGCATGACCAAATACTCAAAGTGACCATATCGGGTTCGAAAAGCCGTTTTCGGAATGTCGTCCTCCTTGACTCGAATTTGATGGTATCCTGACCTTAGATCTATCTTTGAAAACACAGACGCTCCTTTTAACTGGTCCATTAAATCGTCGATCCGAGGTAAGGGGTATTTGTTCTTGATAGTTACCTTGTTAAGTTGACGGTAATCCACACAGAGTCGCATACTTCCGTCCTTCTTCTTGACGAGTAGGACAGGGGCTCCCCACGGAGACACACTCGGTCTAACGAACTGTTTCTCAAACAACTCTTCCAATTGTTGCTTTAGTTCAGCAAGCTCTACTGGCGACATCCGATAGGGTGCCATAGAGACTGGTCCAGCGCCAGGAACCAAATCTATAGAGAATTCAACTTCTCTTTCTGGAGGCAATCCGGGCACGTTCTCAGGGAAAACTTCAGGGTATTCTCGAACGATAGGTATCTCATCCAACACAGGTTCATCTTTTGGGTCTTCAATAGTAAAAATTGCGAAAACTTGTGGCCTCACATCCTTTGGAGCATGGGTACACTGAGCATCTTTACCTTCTTGAGTCCTAGCTTTGGTCCTTTCAACATCACACGAATTGAAAACTAACTTCTTATTGGGACAGTCTAACATGACATGGTTGGCGGAAAGCCAATCCATACCTAGAATAATATCTAACTCAGAGAGGGGTAAACAAATTAAGTCGATAAAGAATTCTCGACCTTCCAAGAAAACATTACAATCACGACAAACAAGGGAGGTGGAAATAGAGGGACCAGTAGGGGTAGAAACAATAAGATTTCCGGTCATAGGAGAAATAGACAACTTCAGCTGCCTCACACAATCATTAGAAATAAAAGAATGGGTTGCTCCAGAATCATACAACACTCTTAAAGAAACACCATTTATAACACACGCACCTTGGATCAAGTCATCAGAGCGAGTGGCCTCAGTACCACTCATCGTGTACACACGTCCCCTCATATCAGGTCTTCCAGAAGGATTCCTAGAGTTACTAGGATTCGGCTGACGATGATTTCCCGTCTGATTCTGAGCTCTATTGTTACGATTCCCATTCCAATTTCTCCCCTTGTCGTTCTCTCTCGCATCATTCCTCGCCAAATGGCATGAAGAGCTATAGTGGCCTCGCTGACCACACCTAAAGCAAGTCACAGGGTTTTGGCGGCAATCTCGTTGGAGATGAGGTCCCCCACAGCTAAAACAGCGCAACTCAGGTCGCCTGTGTCCTCCATGATCTGGTCTCCTAATGCTAGGAGGATTTCTCATTGGCTGATGGTCAGGACGGCTGTATGGCTTCTTTCCATCTCGTATCTCCCTCCTCTTGAAGTCAGAACTTCCTCCACTCCTTTGGGGCCCGGTATTCTTCCATGCAGCTTGTTTTGCTTTAGTGTCATCCTCATAAATCCGACACTTATCCACTAATTCAGGAAAGTGTGCAATCTGCTGATAGCCAATCGCTTGCTTGATATCAGGTCGAAGTCCACTTTCGAATTTGGAGCACCTAGCTCGATCATCAGCATGGGCAAAGTAGGAGCAATACCTTGACAGTTCGTCAAACTTGGCCGCGTACTCTCCTACGCTTGTGGTTCCTTGCTTCAAGTTCAAAAATTCCAACTCCTTTCTTCTCCTAAGATCCTCAGGAAAGTACTTCTCAAGAAATCTACGCCGAAAGGTAGGCCAATCAATAGCAGTTCCATCAGTCACCAGCTGTTGGCGAGCAATCCTCCACCAATGTTCTGCTTCGCCCGCGAGCATGAATGTTGCATAGACGACCTTCTCGCCATCCGGACACGCCATGGCCTCAAATATTTTCTCCAACTCTTCCAGCCAGAGTTGGGCTCCATCAGGGTCAAATCCACCGCGGAAATGAGAAGGTTGATTCTTACGGAACTCGGATAGTCCCCGGTTTGGAGCTGGCTCATGTTGCCTCTCCAGGATACCCACTACTCTCTCGAGTAAGGTATCAATAGTAGCATTCCTCTGTCTCCAAGCCATATAACTCTGAAAAATAGTCGCAGGCAGTAAGACAGCAGGAATACTCTAAAGCTAAGAGTCACTATCAATCAGGATAACAAAACCTAAGGCAAAATAATTCATCAATCAATTCATGCAAGAATGGGTAGTTAGGACCATACCCAGGGCCGAATGGATTGAACTGCTCTGATACCACCAAATTGTAACACCTAAATTACTACCAAGATCCTATCTCCTAAAAATGTATGTATTTAGACTTCCCTAAGATAGTGTACCCAAATGAACATGAACAAGGAATTATTCATTCGACATTAGTGTGGAACTAAACAACAATTTCATAATTTAATTCATAGGTGAGGGTACATTATCCTTCATTTCGTTATCCAATCTATTCATTACCAAATTATGCATATTGTACTATGTTTTACTAGTGTACTTGAAATTCCTTCAAATTAATTTCTTTTTATGAAAGAGATAAAGGTGAGTGTTCAACATCACATGTTTCGTGGACTGAAATTCTGAAATCATAACGAGAGACATGTAAATAGAGAGAAAATTTCAATTTTGTGCATATACGTCTCAAGTCTAAACGGTTCAAGGTAAACTATCGTGAAACGAACAAAAGAGAAGACCTCATGGTTCAGTATTTCAAAATTAATTATAAATAGCCCCTAAAAGAAAGGAAAATATAAAACTTAAGAGCAGTGTTCATCCATGACAAAAAAAAATAAATCATCTACATATAAAACTCTGATGGAAAGGAATCCTCACTAGGATCAGATTCCATTCCATCAGAATCAGGTAAAGCATCCACAGGCTGAGGGCGAGGAGAGGGTGGCAAGTCGTCAGGGTCGCTGTCAATCCAACCGATGGTAGGCGGTGGCGATCTCGAGGTGGATGGCAGTGGTGGAGAAGGGTGTCGGGTGGAAGGTCCAGCTTCGTCGGAAGGTGGCGCCTGAATATCGAGAGGTTGACGAGGGACTGGCCTGACGGAAGACGCAACCACTCCAATGACTTTCCCTTCAGGTGCGGGCGCAGGAGTAGGGCTAGGACAAGGGCTGGGTTCAGGGTCAAGGTCAATGATAGTTTTACCTTTATCCACAAAAGTCTTAAGACGTTTGGCGGGGGGATTCATGAGACGATGGAGAAGAGGGAGGTGTATGAATGATGATGCTCCGTTCGGGTGGTAGGGGTACGGAGATTTCGGCAAAAACGTGGTCCATCCAGTTGGGCTTCCATTCGCCTTCAGTGAGAGGTCCCATGGTCATGGAGACCATTCCCTGGTACGTCAAGCGGCGCGTTGCTGGGTCGTAGATCCATCCCTCCTTTCCTCCCGAATCCTCTCCCCAAATCCTCGCTCGGAGTGGGTCCATCTGCCATGCATTCATGCAACACACAACAACAGCAAGACAAGATGCAACACCAGACAAAACAGAACAGAAAGGGTGAGCTCGATACATTCAATTATCAAAAATCGAATAAGTAAAAGAAAATCAGCATAATAGTAACGGACCTACTGACTCATAGTTCAATAATCAAATTATCATAACATAATATTCATCAAACAGCCACAACGCAACAAAATGAATAAGTTCCTCATAATATAATTATACTCAGAGTAATTGAAACGTCACTACTTCTTCAGTTTGTCCCACTATTCCTCCAGTCAAGGTGATCGGAGACCCTCGTTCCCTACAAGCACACATTGTATGTAATCCATCAAGAATATTCTCCCAACTTAACCATTTCGGTTCCTCAGGAACGAGTCCTTCCACGATCCTCGGTAATGCTTGCTCGCGTCAGGATTAGTGGAGGTTTCGATGGCGACGTGTCCCGGCCGCGGTGAGCTATTCCGCACCATTGGGGCAACCCCCCTCCACTACCCCCAAGGTTCTTCCTCAAACCTGAACACTCACATCCCTCAGCTGTGCTAGACTGTGACCTTGACTCTCCATCCTCCATATCATGCACATAAAGAGTTTCGTAACCGCATCCTCCTTACACCATTTTTGAACGCACATTAAATTCCCAAAGGTCACAAACCACATATCCAAATCCCTGCTCATAAGAGCTGGTACGTTCAAAGAATAAAAGAACCATCCGTCCACGGTCCAAGAATAAAAGAAAAAGGAGAGAAGATGGAGATAGTTATAAAAATTTCATTGAAATATCATAGTTGAAGTGTACCTTAACAAACAAAATGATCATAAAAGAATCACGGAAATAACCACGAGTTTAATCACACATGCAACTCACTTTTACCATAAATTTTTCGTAAAATAGTGATTAGGTGGTAGGAGAATTCTTTCATTGTTAAGAAAAAGGGTTCCTTGGTCATACAGAATCAAACCGAGAGAAAAAGGTGAGTAATTTCTCAGCTAAAACAAAAAGGAAGAAGGGTAGTCGATGAAAACCGAAAAGAACACAAGGATTCATACAAAGATTTCAATATTATCAACATGCAAAACTATTTCAACTTCAATCAAGTTCACGCAAGTTACAAAACATGGATTTTTAAAATACTAACCAAATAAAATCACCACGAGATGAAGAAAATGGTTTGCATGTAAATTTTATTGATGAAGATCGGAGACGAAAATAAGAAGAAGAGAGTGCATGCAGAGTTTACAAGTTAACGAACAACCACATGCATTCAAGCACAAACAAGAGCTCCCCTAACCTTGTTTGGTATGAGAAAGAGAGATAGAATGGAAGGCTCGGTCTTGGTACTAGCAGGATCTTAATCACAACTTGAGTCCTTGGTGTTTTGTCGCCTCCTTGAGGTTGGTGATGGAGTGTGTTGTCCTCCAGAGAAAAGGGCGTAGAGGTTTTGTGAGAGGGTGAGAATGTGTCGAGAGAGAAAAGAAGTGGTGAGGTTGAGAACGTTTTTGAAAATAAGGGAAAAAGGGCGCGTGAGGATTAGAAGGTGTTCTTATATAGTGTGGCTTAAAGCTTTGCCCATTCGTCTTCCAAAGGCTGGCGGTTAGTGCACAAGATGGGTTTTAGGGTTAGGTTAGGCGAAGTGACACATCCTTTCGCCTTCTTACTTGAATAGTCATGTCTCATGGTGTCCAGGTGCAGGTGAGGCGCCTTCTCAAGAGCATTCAATGCACAGAGTGTAAAAGAAGCAAGCCATAGGTGATCCACACATCTCCACACGCCATTCATCATGATGGAGTAACCGAAATGAGGGTTTGACCTAGGTAAGAGTGGGTAATTAATGCATGTTGGCGGCTAGGGTTTGTTGTGGAGGGAAGCGGGTTCAAACCCTTCGTGTCCCACAATTTGAAAAGGGTGATATTATTTTGATTGGTTAGTGAAAAGGTGGTGCCTTTCTCTCTTGCCTTGGACGTGTGGCCAGTGCCATAAAACAGGAAATAATTGCATGGGATTAATGGAGCATAATTTCCATAAATATGTTGCTAAGTTTTTGGCTGTACATTAAGTGCAGGCCGGCGGCTAGGTCAACTCCAGAAGGAAGTTGAGTAGGTTTTTCCTTTGTTTTTCTCATGAGGTTAAATGCGGTTAAGAGGTAATTTAGGTAACTTTAATGATGGTTTAAATGAGGTAAGAGAGGCCCTTCGGTTTCAAGCCATTTAAAACGTGGTTATTAGGAAAAAAAAATATGAATGATTAATTGTTTTCGATAATGCCATGCAATTAATGCAAAGTGGCTACTTAATTTTCTGATGGAAGGTGGCGCCACTTTTGGCCATGCCTTCACACAAATCTCCCTAGGATTTTACCATAAATGCAAGGTAATTAAGGAAGGAATATATATAGTTTATATCAGGCACGATTCTGGGGAATTTATTGCCTCAGGTGGGACGTTTCAAGCTGATTGGCACGCCCACTAAATGCATGTAACCGATTGGATTAATGTGGAGGGAATCAAGCAGGCGCCTTTTCACTCCCCTATGGCATTTAATGTAGGTGGGTAATTAAGGGAGTTTAATGGCGGTTAAATGAGGAAATAGGGGTTTCTTCGACTAAATGAAAAGGCAAGGGTATCTTCTCTAATTAACTACAAGATTCTCGTTAATTTATGATTAATAACCTACCTTAATTAAATGTGCACGAAAATATGGAAAGTTTATAATTAAAGAAAGGAATAAAACTCTATTCTCGGTTACACCTAATTAGAGTAACTAGGGAATTGATAACCGTATTTAAGTGCAATTATTTAGGCTTAGAATCTAGGTCATTATGGCTGGTGTCTTTCTCTTTCCTACATAAATAAATAACGAAAATCTGATTACCTTATTTAAAGAGGGTATAAAATCATGAGGTGCATTAATGAATAGGGTGGCAATTATGTGCAAGTGCCGAAAATATGGAAAGTTTCCTTCTAGAAGAGGATTGGGGTTTTAAATTTTCGGTTGCACCATATAAAAAAAAAAAAAGGAAAGTTTTTAAATAAGATCCACTCAAAATATGGCAGTCCAAGAGGTGGCGGCTGTATTTATTTAGGGTAACCTAGAATAATGGAATTACATTAAGTATACTTAATTTGGGCTAGAATCCTAGGCTATTAAATTCGATTCCCTCCCCCCCCTGGACATGAATGAATTTTCGGTCACTAGCACTAAATGAGGAAAGATTAAAACTTGCCTCTTGGGTCGTATGTAGAACACGTGACTTCTAGGGTAAAAAAAAAATAGATGACGGCTCTCATTAATGGTCTAACTTAGTGTACATGGTACCAGAATAATGGAAGACTTAAGTACATCCATTATTAGAACCTAATGAACATTCAACATAAATAAAGAAAGTTACACATGCAGTTCCACTTAAATTTAAGAAAGCATATCACACAATTAAATAATAAGAATTAAAAGAACTATGTTAACATTAATAACAATCATCAGGGGAATGGAAGAAATAGGGTCCATTTATCTGACTCAAAAGACTATCTCGCCCCTAGGCTAATCTCACTAACCTTGGGTTATGTCAAGGTAACTTCATCACATAATCATATAGACATGCACATACGAAATTTACTAAACACACCCTGGGAGAGA